GTCTTGTGCTGGCAAAGCACCAACCCAGAAGAGGCTGGGGAGGGGAAGGGATGTCGCAGCCCCTGCAGCTGAGACGCGCCCACGCAGAAACCGCCTCCCTAGGAGCCTGGGAAGGATCGCCAGTGCCAGGGTGGAGGGGGGTGGTAGGCGTTATTTCTTTTTCCTTCTTTTCTGGTTTGTCTCCAGTTTCTATAAACATGCACATAGTGGTTTATAATTTATTAAAAAGGCAAAACAAGAGGCTCTGGTGCCACTGTCACTTAGAGTCTGTGGGTTGGTCTTGTGACCTCTCCCTGGCTCTCAGCCTCTCAGGGGTGCCTGGCCCAGTGGGATTTAGGAGGCACCTCCATAGTGTCACTGAGACCATGGCCCTGACCCTGGACCTGGGGTGACAGGAGGTGCAGGAGGTGATAAGAGGTGCTGAGAGGTGATGAGAGGTGATGGGAGATGCTGATTTGTGAAGGGTGGGCCTTGCTGGGGCTGAGACCCCTCCATCTATGCCATCCAGACTCTTCAGGGGTCCAGGACTCAGTTTCCCTATCTATATACTCGCCGTCCCTTCCCCTGGCCCTGGGGCCCAGATCCCACAGGCCAGGAAAGGCCATGGCCACAGGGAGGCCTTTCCCTCCAGGGCACGGAGCGAAAGCTTCCCGGGAGGATAGGTTTGGCAGCACCTCCACAGCCTCATTAGCTCACAAAATGCAGACAGCAGCAAACTACATTCAGAGGAATGAATGGCCTAATTAGGTTTTCGGGAGAGTGAAATATTTTGAAAAGAAAAAGTTTAACTAAAGGCATATTCGAAATACCAAACTCAACAACTGCAAACACCAACCTGGCAAGATGCACCACGGGGGCGGGGGCCTCCGGCTCCCCGACCAGGGCCCTGGACAGCCTTCCCTGCGGGCGAGAGAAGCAGAGCTGCCGACTGCAGGTGCTCCAGCTGAGGGTCCTGTTGGGACGGGGCACCCAGGGCCTGGGGGAATGGAGGCCCCTCAGCAGCCCGATGGTCCAGGGGACTTCACAGACAGCTCTCTGGAGGACAGTCCAAGAAGGGGGACAAAGCAGAACAAGTCCAGGGAATGGCTCCAAGCCGACTCTGGCCAGACTGATGGTGAGAGGCCTCTGGGGAGGCTGTAAGAGAAGAGCGCAGGGCGGGCATGGGCCAGGAGGAGAGTGATGGGGCTGGGGGGCGATGGGAAACACACCGAAATAGCCACCGTGGGCTCCCAGGGGCTGCCCAGGGGGACCTGTGGTCAGAGCACGGCTGGTCTCACCAGGCTGGCCGGGAGGCACTGTTCCAGCCACCAGCTGTGAATCACCTGAGTGCAGTACAGCACAGCCAGGAGCTGGCGTGGCACGCACACTAGAACTGCAGTGGCCGGCACGGAGCCCTTCACGCAGCCTGTGGGAGAAACAGAGCCAGGGCTTGAACCCAAGTTGTGCCACGTACGTGTTCTTCCTCTTGCCTCACTGGAGACGCATGGGTTCTGGGGCTGGGGACAGTTGCAAGGGCTCGAGGCTGTGGTCTCAGCTCCTTTCTCCCATTGAGCCCCCCTGGGCATGACCCACAAGTCTAATCGAAGAAGCCCCTGGGTACCTGGCATAGAACAGCCCACAGGTGAGAGGGCAGTTAGCCAGCCTGTACCAGGCTTTCCAGTCATGTGGGCAAGGTCCTTGAGTGGCAGGCAGATTGGCTGACCACCACACGCCTAACAGCTCCCGAGGCTGAGATACAAACAGGACACATGTAAGCACCTGGTCTGGTGGAGCTGCCCCCTGAAGCCACGAGGATGCCAAACCCATAACCCTTGAGGAGGAGGCCAGTTTACACCCCACAGCATGACAAAGCCACCTAGGCAAAGGACACCACGAATGCTGTCACCAGGAGACCCATGCCCCTCACTGCAGGTGGTTCAGGGGCTGTACCTGGCCACACATAGTACACAGCTGTCAAAGCCTGGATGTCTACAAAGGGACCTGGTCACCTTTGGGGCTTCTGAGGGGGCCCCACGATGGCAGGGGCCTGTTTGCAGTAATGAAGGGAGCTCAGAGGGGCTGCGAGCCCAGAACACAGAGAAAACCGAGCAGGACGTGTGTAGGCCAGCACACGACACACTCCCATGCGGGACGGGCCGAAGTGCTTCAGACAGCGTGCGCTCAAGGGGAGTCCACAGAGGGAGGGGACCCGACAGGCGGACTCAACGTGCCCCTGCAGAGTAAACACGCAGGAAGTCTGACTTCTGAGGACAAAGGCTGATGGTGGGAGGCCCTGACCTGATCTCCTTAACAACCCAGTGGGCACTGGCCAAGGGCCAGGTGCCTGCCAGGGACACCACACACCCGAGGACACATTATGCAATATTTCCAATTTACGGTGACAGAAAGTATTAGTCAAGAAACAGTTCAGCATGCTCCCCCTCCCAGAAGCATGCCCATGCCTTCCCTTTCCCCCTCTCCTTCCCGCACAGGCGTGCGTCTCCGCACCTCTAGAGGACCCCACGAGACTTGCAACCAAGGCAGCTGTGGTCAGCGGCAGCTGGTCCTGGGCTCACCCCCCGGATGCTGTCCCAAAGGCCCCTAGTCTCTGACTCTCCAGGGAGCTGACAGCAGCGCCCCCTCCGCTCACCTCGTTCCCTAACGTTTCCAGGGGGCCAAAGCAGCCCCGCCTCCGCTCTCTCCTGCTGCTGCTCCTACCCTAAGCTCTTCCCTGTTTCACTGTCCCAGCTTTCATAAACAACCTCTCAAAATAAAAAACAAGAAGAAAAGAAAGAAACAGTTCAGACACCTCACGTTTGTGTCAAAACAAATTTTAGATGAATGAAATCTTGGATAGAAACACCCAACTAGAAATACCTGCAGGAAAACGTCAATGTAGATTTATCTAGCTACATACTAGGGAGGGCGATGCACAGAACAATGGAAGAAGTAAATGAGGAAAAAATTCAACAGGTTCCACCACAAAATGGGAAAAATTTCCGCACCGTGCAAAACATCACAAACAACAATTAAAAGGCTGAAAAAACTGGCAGCAGGCAGACAGACAAGGGAAGGATTCGTGCCTGAATGTGTAAAGACTCCTACCGATGGCTAAGAAACACACCAAAACCCCAAGGAACCCCGGCTGGGGGCCAGCGCTCGCAGAAGCGCAGCCCTGCTCCAAGCAAAGGCCGAGGGGAGGGTGGGTTCCGAGAGGAGACTATCAGGGCAGGTGTGGCTGCGGTGCGGAGCACCCACGCCCCAGGACCTCTCTTGCCTAGACCTGCCATCATCATCACCCTCCATGCTGCCTTCCAGCTTCCTTTTCTTTTTAAAAAGGTTTTATTCACTTATTTTTAGAGAGAGAAGGAAGAGGGAAAGAGAGGGAGAGAAACATCGATGTGAGAGGGAAGCTTCTTCCATTGGTTGTCTCTCATATGTCCCCCAGCTGGGGACTGAACCTGCAACCCAGACCCGTGCTTTGACCAGGAATTGAACCGGTGACCTTTTGCTTTGCAGTATGAAGCCCAACCAACTGAGCTACACCGGTCAGGGCTAGCTGCCCCTTCTCGGCACCCTGCTATTTCTCACCATTGTGTAATTCCAGAGTTGGCCACTCCTTTTTCTAGTCTGCTGCTGTGTCCTCGGCCAGGCTGAGGACCCCCCCAGGGCGGGGAGGGACCTAATGTGGTTCCAATACCCAGCATCCAACATGAAGCTCAGCAAGCAGGTGCTAAATAGCTGAAGGTGAGTATGGGGGACACATGGGTGCTTGCTATCAGCCCCTGTCCCAACTTCGTCCCAAGGACCCTGCCTCATCCTCCTCTGATATGAGCAGGGCCTTACCCCAGGGCCCAGCAGAACAAGGAGCCCTCCACCAGGGCCCTGGCTCTGCTGCCCAGTTTTTTGACAGAGTCCCAGCCCAGAGCAAAGACGACACAAATACCACCACCTGTCCCACTAGTGCTTATGGCAGAGAAAAACAGTCAATCGCCACACTCAAGAAGGGCAGGAAGGGACAGGAGACAGGAGACATGAGGCAGGCAGAGGCAGAGCTGCCCAGAGAGGGCCTGAGAGAAACAGGGAGAAAACCAGGAGCAGGAGACAGGAAGGGAAAGACAGGGGCAGGAAAAGTGCAAGCAAGGGCAGTGACCGCGGGCAAGAGCGGCAGGCAGCCTCCGGCAGGCCCAGTTATCAGAGCAGCCATTCTGTGTCTGGGGGCCTGCCAACCTGCGGCACGGTGGCCTAGCAGGAGTTAAGGGGGCTGGGGGTCAGCCACCTGCCACCCTCACTTCCCAATGCCATGTCACCTGTGCCATAAGAAATGCCATGTCCTGAGTCCTGGATACGGCCTGAGCTTCTTTAACCCAATCCAGAGCCCCCGCATGGCCCACCAGCCTGGCCCCCGAGATGCTTGGCCGGACCTTAGTCCTCCCACACGCCCGGATGGCAGTGGATCCCCTGCTCCCACCAGCCCAGCTGGTGGCTTCCCACAGCTGAAGTCCCAGGGAACAGACAGGAAAAGAGCCGGGTGCCCCACGCCTTTCCTGTCATATAGCCCTCAGCCGAGGACACTCAGGCATCTGGAGGCCTGAGGGCTCCTCAGTCTGTGGCTACTGCTTTCTCGCCACCACCCGAGCACAGACTGGGCCAGGCCCTCCACACTGGATGCTCAGTGACACGGAGGACCCACGGAGCTGGGCCGGCTGAGCCTCCCGTGGAGACAGCACCCAGTGCGGCCAGGGCAGGGGTGGTGCTGGGCTAAGGGCTGGGAGCCTGCACTGGAAGGACAAGGGTGACTGGGGCATTTTGACAAGCCATGGCCACTCTGTAAATGCCACCACCACAGCAAGCTCTGGCAGACTGGGGTGTCAACAGGGTATACCTTCACACCATTCAGAGGGCCTTTGGGGACACAGGGACCCCTCAGCCTCCTGCTACACTTCCCAGTCCCATGCCCCAGTCCCACCAGGGCTGGGATTCACAGAAGAACCCACAATACGGAGAATTGTATTGCTTACCCAAGGCCATGGGCAAAGCACGTGTCATCCGGCAGTGAGCAGGGTGGTCAGATTATTCAGTGGCTTGTTGTCTGTGGCTGCTTTCACTCTACAATGCAGACTGTCGCTGATGGCTGTGAGTGGCAGACCTCATGGCCGGCAGAGCTGAAACATTTACTTTATGGCCCTAACAAAGCCTGCTGCTTGGCCTCAGCACCCTTCTCCTGGTGCTCTGTCATGTGGGCCCATTGCCTGTCCCCAACTAGTGGCTTTAGTGTCCCCTGGCAGCAGGGACCACCCTGAGCTAAGAGCAGAGCTGGGCGGGCGATGCCAATGTCAGACACTGCTGTGGCAGACGTCCAGTCGAGGCGGGCGGAGAGCAGCCCAGCTAACACCCTGGTGAGCTGGCCCCACTGCAGGCTTGTCCGTCAAGCCAGATGTCTAACGGTGGCTGCTGTCTACACTCAGTGAATCCAAGCAGTGGTGGCAGGAGGTCCCCACGACCAGCCCCGCCCAGCTCAGTGGGCTGTGCCCACCCACGAGAGGCTGACTGGAAGCACATACCACCCAGAACCACGGTCCATCCCTCTGTGGACCACGCTAGCCCAGCCCATCAGGACATTCTGCTGTCCTGTGTGAGATGTCCCCAGGCCAAGCCCAGGTCACCTACCTGTCTCAAGGGGAGATCAGCATGTCCCAATACCCATCCTGCTGACTGCAGCTCCTGCAGGGAAACCAGAGGGCACTTCGTGAGGCTCACCTGCCAGGCTGTCTCTTTCAGCTGTGGTCAGACTCCTGATTGGACACTGTCATCCCTGACCCCCAGATCACCCCGGAGTGCTTCTGACAAGCAGTTGTGGGCACTCTTGTACCCATGTGACTGGGGCCATCACATCTGCAGTTTGCGTCGGAAAACCACTGTCCCTTGTGTTTCTAATGCTATTGACTATTCTTCAAAAGTGTGAGGGTTGGGCCCTGACGGGTGTGGCTCAGTTGGTTGGGCATGGTACCATAAAGTGAAAGGTTACTGGTTCGATTCCCGGTCAGGGTACAGGCCTAGGTTGTGGGTTCCAGCCAGGGGCATGCATGAGAGGCATCTGATGGATGTTTCTCCCTCACATTGATGTTTCTCTCCCTCTTTCTCTCTCCCTTCCCCTCTCTCTAAAAATAAAGTGTTTTTTTAAAAAAGTGTGACTGCTGAGTTGTGGGCTGGTGATGACACCTGTCCCCCTTCCAGAGGGCTGAGTGTGCCTCATTGTGATAAATGGCCCACATAGGGTGTCATGACCTGCTAGGTGTCTCTTCCTCCTGCTCTGTTCCCCTTAACTGTGGGACAGGCCACCGGCCATTTTCTGAGACTCCCTGAGGCCAGCCCAGCTCCCCAGTCCTTGGGTCCCAGGTGCTAAAGCCAAGTGCCCTTCACATGCCTGCAGAAGTGGGGACGGAGGACCCACGTGGCCTCCTGTCTTGGCCAACAACCTAGGGGACACTTTTCCTCTTGTATCGAGCCTGGGGATTTTGCCAGAGAGTGTCTATGTCATGAAAAGTAAAACCAGGGTGGCATAGACAGGGAGGGGGGTCTGGGCCCCAGATGGGAGGCCATCTCCTGGGGGACATGGGTGATGGGAGCTCTCCTCCTCTGCTATGCAGTGCTTTCCAGATTGTTGCAGCCTATGTCCGATCTTCCTCTGGGGACCTCATCACAGCCCCTTTTTCAAGGGGAGGAGCTTCAGGTCGAGGAGATCATGGGGCTGGAGTCAGGGCCCTGGGGCCAGAGGCAGGAAAGGGCGGGGACTCAAGCCGGGCCTGTGTGCAGATGCACGCATGTGTGTGAGCATGTGCGCCCAGGAGGGGAGGTGTGGGTAGGAGTCCACCTGCCCACTGACGCCCTCCTGTCCTGTGGTCTGAGGTTCTGGGGTTAGCTTTTGCTCAGAATGATATTTCTGGGATACCTCGGTCTTGGGCTTAAATGTTCACGCAGATCTTGTCCCAGAGAACTGCGTACCTCTTTAAAATCAGTCCTGATGAGAAGCCTCCTGAAGTGCTGGCTGGGCACCATCATCACACAGATGCTCACTGAACACCTTGCGTTGGCCCAATACCCCACTGCACAGGTGGGGAAGCTGGGTCTGGGCAAGGCAGCGCTGGGCCAGCACTTGAACTCAGGTCTCCCTGCTCCTCGGACTCCCCAATCCACCCACAGAGACAGGAATGTGCAGTCACAAGAAGAACGTGCTCCCTCTTCACAGGGCTCCTGCTAGGCCAAGAACTCCACAGATGCAGAGGAGGGCTAGCAGTAGACACTGGTGTGTGTTTGGGGGGAGGGGTCTGTGGAAGAGCTTCCGAGAGGTGGAGGGTGGAAGCAGAGTAATGGGAGGGCATGGAGGAGGCATGGGTCTCCATCCCCAGGGGCCCCTTGTCACAGCAGTGCTGATTCATGTCAGGGCAGCGCAGAGCCCAACAGGAGTCCTAGGGCAGTGGACAGATGGACAAACAGACTAACAGATGAGATATGAAGGTAGTAGACCCAGTGATGGGATTTGTGATGGGAGAGCAGGGGGGTACCTGTTGTGGGGAGCGCTTCTCACCGCCCCTTCAGGGCTGGTCTGCTGGCTGTAGGGTCACCTACCAAGCCAAGGACCACATTGTGCCAAGGGCCCTGGGGTCGAGGGAGTGACCCTACTCACCCCCAGCCTTGGGAATACCTGCTGTATCTTTGAGGCAGGAGCCCAGGCCAGCCTGCAAGGATCAGCCTGCAAGATCCAGAAAAGCAAGCTGTGGACCCACAGATACTGACAACAAGAGGCAGCTCCCATGGGTGCAGACGGAGTCCAGAAGAAGAGTGGGGCTAGGGCTGGGAAGACCAGGCAGGTGGCTTGGGGCCATGGGGGCCGGGGGAGGGGAGCTCAGGTGAGGGCCCAGCAGGCCTGCCTGGGCGCTCTCTTTGTACCAGAGCCTTGAGTCCTGCTGCACCATGGAGAACCCTGATGGGCTCTTCCAAGCCGCTGGTCACCCTGGTAACTTGGTGCCTGGTAAACAGGCACCCACTTTGGCTGCACCCTTTTGTTTCACAGACAAGGACACTGAGACAAAGAGAGGCACAGCCCCTCCCTGAGCGGCTCACTCGGAGTCCTTGCCTAGACCCCTTGGTGATGGCAGAGCTGGCCTATGGAAGCAGGGAGGCGCCTGGGCAGGCAGCTGAGGAGTCCTCACTCTCAGGGCTGTGCGGGTGCAGGGCCCAGCCCTTACTGTGTTTGCCCGAGCTGGTGCTCAGCCACCTACCCACCATCCAGACCTCTGGTCTCCCCTGCCTGCACCAAAGGTGTTGAGGGGCTCTGAGGGGTACTAAGGGGCCTTGCTCCAGGGATCCTTGCTCCTCTCCAACTGTGCACCCAGAACAGGCAACCTGGAGAAAGCAGAGCTCTGGCCTCCCTACTGGGTGCCTCAGGAAAGGTCCTGGGTGGAGCCAGTCTTGCCTGCCATGGTGGACCTGGGTGCCCTCTGGTGGCCTCACTCAGCTTGCTGCAGCTTTGCTCGAGAGGCTGTTGGACCCTCAGGGTCCACTGGAACAGGGGGTAGGCCTATGCCTGTCCCAGGTGGGGGCAGGGGAAAGGGGGGAACCGTACAGGTGATGTAGTTGCCCACCAGCTCTGGGCTCATCTTCTGGCCTGTGGAATAGGTCAGGATGTGCAACCCTCCCCATGGGGAAGGCCCATGAAAGGATTCCTGACCCCGTATGCCCCCTCTGGTTACTCTCTAATTCAGGGACTCCTGAGAAATGGCCCAAGACCTCATCCTGATCTCGATGGAAGCTGACAGCAAAGGAAGAGATGACTTCCCCCTGACTTGAGCCACTCTCAAGGCTTAAGTTCCCAGAACCCCTGGTGTCCCTCTAATCCCACCCCGACAATCCCCACTTGCCCTCAGAGCCCCCACGTTCCTTCCCTGGTCCTCTACCCCAGCTCTGCCTCCTGCCTCTCTCTGCTGAGGCCAGGCCAGGCCAAGGGCAGTTGTTAGGGGCTGGCTGAGGCTCTGACATGCCTGGTGTCCTTGCTCTGCTGCCCCTCCACCCAGCTATACTTCAGTTCCTGGCTCCTCTTAGAGGCAAATCCTGCTGCTCATGCCCCCCAAGCCTGTCTCTTGGGGTAAAGGAGGCACAATGAACTCATCATAAATTTTTATGCAACAAAAACAGGAATGAAGATAGATGCAGAGGGATCTTGGACTAGAGAGAGACCTGAGGGGCGACCTATGGAAGGGGCACCATGCAGTCCAGATGCGGCAGGAGGTGGGGGCAGCTCTGACTTAGTAGGATTGAGGGCTGGGGGCTGGACCCAGTTCTCCCAGGAGGGACTTGATCATCAGAGACGGGTGTCCTGTAGAAAAGCCAGTGAGGAAGAGCAGGGTAGGCCTGGCTTGGCTGTACTCACGTGACCCTTCTCAGCCCAGGCCCAGCTGTGCCCAGCTCTGTGCTAGACTCTGGCAGACCACAGACGTGTGGGGATGGCAGGGGACAGACAGGGTACAATGGGTGGGATAGTGCCAGGCTGGGAGAAAGTACACCCTCTGGATTCACAGCCGTACACTGTGTCCACACCCAAGGCCTGGACCACCTGCTCGGAAACTGACTGGCCAGGGCCCAGCACATTGGGCAGAAGGCTCTGACTGTCCCTGTGTCCAGCACCATCCCAGAGACACAGTGAGCACAGGACAGGCAGGACTTGCTCAGGACAGGCGGACCTCTGGTGGCAGCCTGGGTCTGGGAAAGGAGGCAGAAAGCGTGGAGGGCTCCCAGCGTGCCCCTGGCGCTGCCCTTACCAGGCAGGTTGCCCCCACAGGTACTAAGCTGCTCATCCCTTGAGCACCTGAGTTTGTAAGTGGTGACCTGGTGTGTGCCCTGCACAGTGGCATGGGTGGCAAGGGAAGGGGGCACGAGCAAGGGGTAATCACCTGAAATTATATTAAGAATCTATGAGAAAGGATCAAACCCCACTGGGTGAGTTATTCTCTTAACCTTGTTTGTAAGCACATCTGGGTCTAAAGTGAATGGGAACCGCAGCGATACACTCTGCATAGGTTAGAAACGGTGAGTTGTTGTAAGTACCCAACATTTAATTATTTGTGATTAAAGGAAGGCTGGGGATCCCAGGCTGCCCACCCATGGCGACACCTCAAGGGAACCCAGACTGAGTAGCATTCCGAGTGGGGAAGACGCTGTTCCGCTAGGGGCTGGGTGTTCCACAGAGGCAGCAGGGGGAAAGTAGGGGTGAGAGGTAGGGACCCTAGGTCGAGGCACCGCGGAGGGACCCCCGGGCAGCGCCCCCTCCCTTGTCCTTTAGGCGGGGGAAGTCACAAGGTGCAGAGACAGCCCCTTGGCTCCACCGTGCCCGGCCCTTCCCGGCAGCGAAACGCCCCAGGAAAGTTCCCCAACCCCACCGCCCCTCCAGCGGTTCGAAAGTTTCTGTGGTTGCACAGCCCTGGCTACAAGGCGCCTAGTGTCGCGCGATGCAGGAGCCCAGGGCAGTCGGGCAGGGCCCAGAGGCCACGCACAAAAGGCCCACTGGTAGAGGGTCTAGCGCTCCGTGGCGCGGAGGAGGTGCGGGTGGGGCGGCTCTCCGTTCGATACCCAGCCCGGATCACCACTCAGACTCCAAGCCAAAGACACCGCCCGACCCGGTCCCTGCCAAGCCCACACCTGCAGTTCTAACCCCCTTCCAGCGGCCCCGCCCTCCGGCCCCAGCCTACCTGGAGCGCGGCGTGGGCGGCTCCGCAGCGAGGCCGCCGCCCCCAGACGGGCGTCCCTGGGTCCCCGAGTGCTCAGGATGCGGCAACCTGAGGGCGCGTGCAGGTGGCCTTTCAAGGGGCCCTGGATTAGACCCGTGCGGGTACTGACCCTCCTGGGCCCAGCGCGCAGCTCCCGGGCCAGCCCTCGCGCCCCTCCAGTGGCCCGTGCGCAAAGCGGACCTGGCCAGAGACTCGGCTCTCTGTCCCGCCCCATCCACCCTTAAATTTTCCCATTGGTCGGGAGACCCAGCGCGGCCTGGCAACCGGCGTCTATTGGCCGGGCTCGGGGAGACACCAGCTTGCCATTGGGCCACATGGGTGTCTGTCTCGACCGACACCGGCTCCCTTATACAGCGGCGGAGGCCCGGCACCTGCCAGGACCGCTGCGGCGGCGGCGGCCTTCCCTCCCTCCTGCCTTCGAGGACAGCCCGGGACCGTCCGGCCCCCAGCGGGCTCTGGCAGAACTAACGCCTCTTCCCATGACTCCGGCCGCGTTGTCCCTATCATAACCTCCCCCCGCCCCCCCGCCCACTTCGCAGGTATCTTTCACTAGCACCTGCTGTTCGCCTGGCGCTGCGCGCATCGTCCTCCTTTCCACATCAAATTGTATTCCTCACACAAACCGCGAGGGAGAGTTCTGCTCTCATCCCATTTTGCAGATGGGAATCTGAGACTCAGAGAATGTTTCACTTGCTTTAGGTCACTGGGACTCAAACCTAATCCTTCTGATACCTGGGCCTGGGCTCCCTCACCCTCAGGGTTCCCACAGCAGAGGCGGGGTGCGGCCTTGGCTCAGGGGGGCTGTGGCGAGTGAGGGCCTGCAGGGTTTCAAGGGTAGGAAGGGACCCGTCGGTGAACAAGGGTTTCCATCTACTATCAGGCCTGAATCCACAGACACCAACCTGCACGGCACCACCCTCCCTCACATTTCTCATTCCCCCGCCATAGATCTGGGCCTGGAGAGGAAGAATTTGTGCCTTTATCACCCCGCTTCCTGGTGTCCCATTTCCTCCACCCTTCCCTGGGGTCACAGAGGAACATCATGGGGGTTCAGCTACCCAGGCTGAGTTCAGCAAAGGTTGTATTTCCCCTGCCAGGTGAAGAGCAGCCACTTAGTCCCTGCAACGACACAGGGCATACATGTGATCATGAATGAGACTATAATCCTAGGCCAACTCCACTTACTTTCGTGGTGTGGTTGGCACCAGTAGGGATGCTGCCCATGGGGATGATTTTGGAGGGTTCCTGAAATGGCCCCTTGACCAGTTATCCTGGCTCATTCTTGGTCCTAAGCTTTTCCTGTCCTGGTTGTGTCTGGAGATCTTGTCCCATGGAACCACACCATCAGTGACACTCTGGCCTGGATTAGATCTCTCCAAGGGGATTGGACCCTGGTCCTCCTGGATCCCCTCTTCTTGCAGTGACCTTGTGGTCCAGCATCACCCCTTCCCCACACACTTGCCACTGGTGGCAACAGGGACTAGGAAACCTCAGATGAGATTGTACATGTAAGTCAGTCCAAGCAGTCACCTCTCTCCCCCTAATTCCTGACAGTGTTCCAGAAACCCGTCTGCCCCTGAACCAGATCGCCAGCACCTTCAGAGGATCAGGGTGGGCAATGACATTTCCAAGAGGGTTCTGCCACTGTCTGGCAGTGGCCCACCATGACCCAGGCTGCAGGTGGGGGTCAGAATGTCACAGAGCCGTAGAGATGGCGTCTTCTACTTGCTCTCTGACACAGGGACCAGGACCCATGTTCCTCCCTATCTCCTACTCTTTCGATTTAGCCAATGACCCGCTCTGTAGAGATATCCCTGGAGCACGTGAGGAAAGCTACAGGGAGGAAAAGGCTTCAGCTAGATGTCAGGAAGAACTTTCCAACAGTTGCAGATATTCAGACACCAAAAGCATGGCCATACAAGGGAGTGAGCTCCCTTGTCTGAGGCAATGGGATGGCAGTGAGCCCCTTGCAGCCTTGAGACCCCAGGGCTCAGATGCCCCCCTCAACCCATCTGATTGGTTTTCCCTGCTTCCTAGCACCAAATGTCATCCAGATTGGAGTCAGTGGTAACAGAACAGGAAGGAAGACTGTGTGTCTTGCTGGGTCTGCCACCTGCTGGCCATGAGTCCTTTGGCATCTGAAGTCCTCTGTTCCCATGCCTGCAAAGGGCTTCTGTTGCGTTTCAGGAGGAACACAGATGAGACGGTGAAAGAGTGGTGTGCTACAGGTCTTCGGGGGTGTCCTGCAGCTTTGGGTTTGACTCTTGCCTTTGCTGATTACGCCCTTCCCCTTTCTGAGCTCCAGTCTTCCACAGGGCTTCAGCATTCTGAGTCAGGATCAAAGTCTTCAACGCCAGGCTGTGGAGCTAATCTAGCCATTGCCACTTGCCACTTTTTTTTTTTTTTAACTTCAAGCATGCCACATAACTGCTCTGAGTCCTGGTGTTTGCATCTGTAAAATAGCATGAATGAAATCTGTGTACTGAAACACAAGGTTTAGAGTGCTTAGCACATTGTTATTATCCTTACTATAACTGTCCTTCTTGTCATAGTTTGCATGGTGCCCACTTTGGAGCAAGCCGCCCTGGGCCTCTAATTCTCCACTTTCCCTACACTAAGGCCCTAGACAGTGGGGACAGAGAGCCCAGTGAATGCCTCTGTCCAGCTGGGAAGGCCCCAGTCAGTGCCCTTTCCTGGCCACTTGCTCACTGATTCACCTAGTACAGATAGGGGTGGGCCAGCCCTTCATCCTTGGGGCCTGGACCTGAAAAACAGCCTCTAGGTGAGCTCAAAGGCTATGGTGGCTGGATGGGGCTGGAATGCCTGGTCCAGGGTCTGTGCTGAATATGGCAGGGATGTCAGGGTATCAGGCTGGCAGTGGAGAGGAGAGGACGACCAGGTTCAGAGGCCCAGATTGGATGGTCTCAGGGAGACAAGGACCCAACCTGAGGGGCGGGTCCGGAAGTGAACATCACTTTAGTGCTTCCAGCGAAGCGAGGGCCTCCGGGTGGGTAGGTGACCGTGGGGAGCTTAGGGTGGCTGCACTGACGGGTCTCGAAGGCATGAACTCGGGGGCGGCTGCGACCTCCCGCGACAGTCCCCAAGGCCGGGGTCCGGAGAAGGCTGAGACGGCCGTGGGGGTCACAGGACCCCCGAAACCAGCTCAGCCCTGAGGCTTGGCGCAGCCCGGGGGGCGGGGCGCCGGGAGGGCTGCAGCCCCCGAGCGACAACACTGGTAGCCAACCGTACCCCAGGTTATAGAGCGCTGCCCCGCCCCAGTCCAGTAAACCCAATAGCGAGCAAGCAGACGGCACTAGGGGCGGGACCTGGGCGGTAGCGGCGGTGCGCGGGCGCGGCACCCGGAAGTCGGCGGCGGCGGAGGCGGTGAGTGCGCGGCTGGCTGCCTCGGCTGGTGGACTCAGCTCCCAGCGGGGCTGGCCCGGGCTCGGGGACTCGGGGCTCTGGAGGCGCGGGGCTCTGGAGGCCCGGGAGGGGAGGGGCAGGGTCCCACCTCCCCCTGCCTCAGTTTCCGCTTTTTGAGGCGTGAATTGGAAATCTAGCGGCTGTGTCCCGGGAGACCAAACCAACCCCGGGCGACTGAGGTTCCCACGCGTTGCTGAAAGGTGTTTCTAGTGATCCCTGCCCGCCCGGATAGGGCGGTTGGTGGGGGGAGCCCACTGGCAGGCAGGGCTGGTCTCACTGCAGGGAAGTAGAGACTGGCGGTGCTGGGAGTTGCGTGGTGGCTGCGGGGTGGGTGGGTCACGGTGTCGGTCACCAATGGAACCCTGAGTCACGCTGCTGCCTCCCTGGTCCTGCTGCAGGTGCAGCGGGGTGATAGCTAATCTATGTCTGAGTGGGCAGCAAATGCTGGGTTATTCCTATGCCTGGAGAAGACCTTCCTGGGGTGACTCAGGTGGTGAAACCCTCCCTCCAGGACATCAGGGGTTGGGGCTGGGTAGGGCTGCCCCCAGGGCAAGTTCTGGCCCATTTGCTAGCCTTTGAGACCCCCACCCTCACCCCAGCTCCTTCCATGCTTCCAGGCTTCATTCTGGTCCACAGGTAGAGGGAACCTTCTGCCCTTGGACCAGTCCCTGAGCCTCAGGCCACCATTCTTTTGCAAATATGTCACATGCTCGGTACAGGCCTGACTTGTCCTCCTGCTCCAGACTTGCTGACCACTGTTTTGCTGCTGCTGTCTGGGCTCAGTGCCCTCTTCCCTGAGGCAGATATGACGGGACAGCTACAAGGAGTGTCTCCAGCTGGTAGTGCTTTGGAAGTGCTTTCTCACACTTGCTTGATGGTCCTCTGGGAACCGTTAGTCCCCTGGGCAAACTTCTGGGGCAAGCGTTCATTGGCCAAACACTGTTCACAGTGAAGAAAACTCAGGCTGAAGGGTAAATGGTGTTCCCAAGGTCACTCAGAGCCAGGGCTGGCTCCTAGTGCCTCTGCTCCTTCTGGGTCTCTCTCTCAGGAGCCTCCCTGCATCAGGTGACCTGTCAGGTGGAGTGGTGGCAACTGGAGAGGATGGCTGTGTTGTGTTGGCAGATGGACACAGCAGAGCCTCTAGCCCCCTTTGAACCCCTTCTCCAGGATTCCAGTGTTCCCGAGAGGCAGAGTGGATTGCTCCGGTGATCCCACCCACAGGCCCCCGACCATTTACCCCAGTCCTGTAGCTTCGTGTTACAATGTGTCCACATGCTGGAGGCCCTTCAGACCAGGCCACTGCCTGCTCCCATGTGTGGTGACAACAGTCCTTCTCTGAACGAAAGCAACGGGCCATCCCTTCTGCCTGGCTGCCCAGCCCCTGAGCTGTTATGATTGCCTCATGTTTCCTTTGTCATTATGTGAGGGCTGTCATTTTGGTTATGTTTCCCCGTGGGTGTAACCATGTGCTGTGTGCTTGGACTTGGCCTCCAGACGAGCTGGCGGGCTCTCTGAAGGCATTACAGGTGGTGCTGCTGAGGCCTACTGTGGTGACGAGGTGAGGGGACCCCAGAGCCTGTCTGGAGAGACGAGGGAGGGAGACTGGGAGGCTTCTAGAGGTGAGGCCACACTGACACTGATGCTCTGGATGTGTGAGAACAGGGCCCACCCTTTGCCGACACGTTGGTCTGCGTGTGAGGACAGCACTACAGAGCCTGGCA